TGCACACCAAACCCCACCTCCCCTATTCTGGCTCAACACATGTACTACCTGTTCACTTTCTCTGAGGATTTTGCAGATTATCAAGAATGCATTTGGTCCTGGCTCCCTTCAGATGCTACTGCCTGCCCCAACTCCCAAAGATTTTACACATTTACCGGAATCTTTCGAGTATGAGAGCATATTTGTTTCCTGTTGGGATAACTGATAAGAGGATTTTATTATTGCACTTGACATAAATAAATTACTTAGTAATTCTAAACCTTAAAACATCTCATCGGGCTTACAAAAACTACACTAAAAATTCCCATGGTTTTTTTTGTTGTTGTTGTTATGAGGTTGAAATGAATGTTAGAAAGGGTTATCTTCTGTTCCTTAGCATATGTTAAAAGGCAACTGTTCATGTTTTAGTACATTTATTTGTTACCTTTGAAAAAGGTACAAGCTCTAAATTAGTAATGCTGTTCATCTATTTGGTACAGTAGTACTACTCTGTTTCCAAAACAGTCCCATCATATCAAATCTGTTTTTCCTAGCACAAAGACTCTTAGAAAGTCAAAATTGATAAAGACTATTCTCTTCCTACTGGAGAGGATACAGCTAGGATTATAAACACACTAGATACGGTCCTTACACGTATAATCTTACCTTCTTGTCCACTACAGTTCAATTAAAAGTTTTCTACAAATTAAAAATAAAAAGCAAAATTTGATTAAAAAATAAAACAGGAAACATGAACAAAGGTTAAATAAACTGACACAAATCTCTAACTCACTGAGGAAGGCATCATTGGGTAAGTGGCCTGGTGTAATACCAGAGGGAAGCTCAGCTAAGGAAGAGAGAAAAGATAAACAATTTTTTAAAAATTAAAGCCTATCTCAGATATAAACTACCATCAGGTGCAGACCAAAATGAGTTAAACTAAAAAAAAAAAAAAAAAAAAAAAAATCAAAAAGGAAGGCCAGGGAGCCACTGCCCAGAAAGGAAAGGAATAGGAAGCTCCTTCCCACTCTTCTTTCAGGAAGCCCAAGCATCCTGTTTCTGCAGTAACCTGTTCCTGTCCTGGGAGTCCACAGGTCCAACAGTCAATTCTGTTCTCTGGCATTCTTTTCCCCATGTCTAGCAGCGAGAAATGTTTTCAAGTGCAGTTAACCAAAACCTTGATTTCTGTTAGAGGGGATTTTTTTTTTCTGAAATAATAAGTAGTCCCAGAAAAGGGTGGGATTTAGGTTTGATTCAGCAGCACAATAAAACAATTTTGCAGGCTGTAATATCAGATTCATTCTAAGCCTAATTTCCCGTGATTTTTAAATTAGGGCCACCCACTTCCCCACAGGACTGAAAAGCCGCTTCCTCTCCCAAAACCCAAATTGTTTTAGGCCCTCAGTTCAATTAGGCCCAATTTAGGTCTTGCGCTCACCCCAGAGCAGTCACAGTTGCCAGGCAAATATCTTACATTAACTGGCTTATACTCTTCAGGACTAACCTCTGCAACTGGGGATAGGGTCTACTTTCCCAGTCACATGAGCTGTAGAAAGAAGTTTCTTGCACAAAATGAGAGTTCCGGTACAAGAAAAGGAAGAAATCAATGTGGAAAAGGCAATCAACAGTGCACCTTACACTTCCTTCCCATTCCTGACTGACTGACAGGACATCTAGTGCTGAATGTTCTAGCTGGTCACTAATGGCATGCTTTACTGGCCCATAACACCGCTTGTACTTCTGTGGTAAGTGACAGCTGCTGTGAGGACATGGATAACTAAAGATAAAGCTTAAGATGCTAGGGGCGCTGGGTGATTCAGTGGGTTAAGCCTCTGCCTTCGGCTCAGGTCATGATCTCAGGATCCTGGGATTGAGTCCCCCATCAGGCTCTCTGCTCGGCAGAGAGCCTACTTCCTCCTCTCCCTCTTTGCCTGCCTCTCTGCCTACTTGTGATCTCTATCAAATAAACAAATAAAAATAAAATCTTTAAAAAAAAAAAAAAAGCTTAAGATGCTAAATAATTTGCCCAGCTGAACTCAGGACCATTACATTGGTTTCGATTGTGCACAAAAAATGGGATCAGTGAGGGCAGAGTAGGTTACTGATTTTCTGCCCTTATGACCACTCACTGTCTGATAATGCCTGTTAACCCTACTCAGTAAAAAGGCAAGACAGGATTATTGAAAGAAGATCCCAGAAAGGGGCCAGACTAATGGCACAGTGAAGATATTCAACATGGCAGGATTTTATAGGAGAGGGTTATTTTGCTGAGGCAGAAAGCAATTCAAGTAATAGATCCAGGCAACTCAAAAAGGGAAAACAGAATGAACCAAAGGATTCAATTAAATACAGTTTCTGGATCAGCATTCTTTCCATTACACCATCCTGGCTTTGGAAGCAGAAGCCTAACTTTGTCCAGATGGGGTTACCTAAGAAATAGTTTTCACTCTCAAATTCTTAGAATGGAAAATAATGTTCCGCAAGTTTGAATATAAGGAAGAGAAAGGGTACCTCTCAATATTTGGTACTGTCCAAGTTTTAGGCAAGAGAGAAAGCATTACATAGGTTCCTAATCCGGACAGCTGACTCTTTGCCTGTATCAGAAAGAGCAGGCAGAGAAGTAAGTTCATTAGATCTCTTCTAAGACTGGGAAAACTGAGTATTCAATTTTATATAGTATAAAGAGATGTTATCAGGACAATAAAAGAGTCACTTATATATTATTAGAATTCTGAAAGGATCTGCTCATTTTGAAAATCTTTGTAACAAGGGTATATAGCATTAACTTGCTTGCGTGAACCCCCTTAATTTGGTCTAACATTTTGTTCATACTGGAGACAATACTAATAATTACACTTTATGGGCTGCTGTAAGGATGGAGCCATACGTATGTATGGGTATGGACACTTGTGTGTATGTGTTTCAAGCTTACCACTGTCTGGCATATAGTTGAAATCAATAAATGTTACATTTCTTCCCCCACCCTCGACCTACTCACCGAACAGAATAACGTCATACCTAAGCTGGCTTGCATGCACTCCTTAGTTAAGGGATCAGGAGGACAACAGAAAGTTTTGTGTCCGAAAACTGTGATGAGCTCTGTTCTAAAACAAAACTCATTTTCACTTCAGTGTGGATTTGGGAGAAGCATGCTTTTGAGGGGAAACTCAGAATCACGATAAGGACAGTGGTCAGAGGAATGTGCTTATGGGTACACGCAAACACTAGTGAATCATGAGAGAGTGGCAAGGGCAACATTCCCTCAAACTTTGGCTGTTCTTGTTGGTAGTAAATAGGAAAAATATACTGGAGTACAAAACTCACTTGCAAAGAGGTTATTTGCTGTATATAGATGACTACTTTTCGGTTGCTTTTATAGATAAAAAATCAGCAACATACTTTTTTGTGTTATCCTAACTTTCCTACAGATAAACTATTACAATTAAGTTTTGTGTCCTTTTTGACAGCCTCCATTTTTCAATTTAGTTCCTATATTTTATACATGATTGTTGTTTCAGAATATGTCACAGGTGGTTTCAATGTACCTAGTGACACATACTGCTTCCAGATCTCCATAATTAATCCTGAAATTATACCATTTCCATTTCCAGAAAGTCTGAAATCTTTTCTGTTGACGTTTCAAAGAACTAGAGCTATAAGGTTCTATCTCCATCTATAATGGACTACTAAAACAAGAGGTAGCATATTATAAAGACAATCATAAAAGGCAAGACAGGAAAATAATAACCTATATTTCCTAAACCCCATCTGCAACACCAGATCATTAAGTACGAGCATTTTGAAGGCATGGCGGGAATTAGCACTTCAGAGCTGTGAGCATGAAATGCCACTTTCTATAATCATCTGTTTCTTTCAACTCAGATCAAAACTTCCATCTCACTTAAGGATTTTAGAGCAAAAAGAATCAGAAACATTCCTCTTGGCCCTATCCTTTTGTGTCTTCCCCTCTACTGATATTCTCTTATTACTCCAGCATTCTTATTTTTCAAAAAAAAAGAATAGGTTACCTTTTTACCCCTTTGAAATATTTCACTGGACCCCTTAAAAATCACTTTTTAACTGTTAAGTGAATTTCCACTTATTTTTAAATTTCTCAGTCTCTAAGGAGCATCATATTCTTTAAGTTACTTTAGTTAGAATTCTATATTTTAGCTCTGCCCAGAGTTGGAATTACAAATGGCTTCAAGGCATTTTCAATTTTTTTCAAATAGTGGCCCATGTGGTATGCTTAGCTTTTTGAAAGAAATAAGCTTTTCAGAGAAATGCCCCACAACTTTCATATTCCTATAGACTTACACAATTTCAGAGAAGCTCTCTAACAAAATTTAAGTTAACAAGGGGTTCAAAGATTTTCATTTGAACGGTCTCACCCAGACACTCTGCAATTTCAATTTCCACAGGAGCTTGAGGTTTACAGAAACTTGTGAATCCTACTAACCTTGTTTACCTGTTTGAAGCTAATTTTTATATGCTAGGTTTTTACTAAACAGGACACAATAAAAGGACTATTTAAGTTGTTTAAAGATTTAGACCAAAGTACTGTTAGATCACTTCTGCCTTCACTCAAGTGGTAACTCTAAGGCAGGACTTCTCAACCTTGGCATTACTGGCATTTTGGGCAGGATCCTTCTTTGCTGTGGGAGCTGCCCAGGGCCCAGTAGAATACTTAGCAGCCTCCCTGGTCTCCACCTACTAGATGCGAATAGCACCCCAACCTCACCCTCCCTACCCCCAATTACTTCTCACAACCAAAAACAAATGTCTCCAGATCCCGCCAAATGCCCCTGGGTAGGGGGAGTGGAAAGAAGAAAGCAAAATGGCCCCAGTTGAGAACTGCTGCACTGAGGCATGCTATTTCTTGCATCAGTACCTACAATTCTATAGGCCTCAATCTTTATTTTTGCGAAGGAGGCATATAATGTAAAATGAAAACAAATTTGGAACCAAAATGTCCTGGTAGAGAAAACATATTTTAAAATATAATCAAATTAAGACTATAATTATAAACCAGCCAGTTTCTGTGCAGCAAGGTCTGATCTCAGCTGAACCTCAGCTAACTTCAAAGCCATTTCTCTATAAAGGGCACCACTCACTTTTAGGTCCGTCCCCAACGTTCGCTTCTTTTCTCTCTGTAGTTCTTTTCTGTAGGGATGGACGTTTTCCTCTCTGTCTGATAAAGCCGCCACACCACTACTCTTTTCTTTGCTTGCTTCACAACTTTGCACCAAGTTGTTTTCAACCTTAACTAAGGCAGAAGAAAGAGAACGATGGGTAACCAATTCCTTCTCCAAAGTTAACGCCAAATGATTAATTAGGAAATCAACACTTCCAAATTTTAGATTTTTGAAGAAACAGTTTATAGGGAGAGCTCTGATGAGATTATGAAGGCACTGGAACAAAACTGTTTGATTCCTGGAATAAAAAACCAAACACAATATTACAAAACTTGGGAGAGCACGTAGCAGTTGTATACAACTTACTGTAGTAATTAATACGCATTTATAAATACTCTCATGATGAATAGAACCAATAATGCATGCATGAGAACTTTGACATAATTCAGTCTGTAGCAATCAAATATACATATCCTATACCAAGTCAGTTAATGTTTATCACTTGCTTCCTGATTATTTTTTTTCTCTGAGTAATAAGATTAATATTATGTTTTTTAAAATGTCACTGAGGGGGAAAGGTAAGTGGAAATTTTAAAATAACTACCAGGCCCTAATCAACCAAAAAAAAAAAAAAAGCCAAAAACAAACATCAGGATAAAACAGCTTTAGTTTCCACATGAGGCCACCTGTCTACTGAGGCTATACTAGGCAATGACCTGGACATGTCCCACAGTGACAAAGATCTCTACTGTGGAAATGGCTCTTGGACCACACGGATATGCACTAACTTCTCTGGATGTATTCCAATTTGGTATGCATTACCTGGAATAGATTATTAAAATCCCTTCAAATGGTGTTTTTTGTTTCCACTGGAAGAGTGTCCCATAGAAACTCCCTGGCATCTTGCAAAAGCAAATTTCTGGAAATTCTTTGATTTCTTCACATTTCATGTATTCCAGGAGCCATATCTTCATTGAAGTCAGAGAATAGTTGGATGACGTGATTTGAAAACAAGCTTTTTTAAACACTGTGAGAAGTGCAAACAGATCTTCCATGTGTTCTACAAGGAAAACACGTCACAAGCTCTGTCATTAAACTGTCCATTATCAAATAAAAAGAGACTTTAAAATTTTCTAATTCAATTAGGCATATGATTAAGAAGTACCAACAAAAATTACCTATAGGTTTCTTCTTTGGAAATATCAGCAGGTATTGCCTACTTGAAAGGTCTTCTAGGCTTAAAAAAAGTCTGCCACACTGAATATAACGATCTTCAGAAGAGTTACCGTTTTCCCTCTCCCTAATTTGTAGCAGCACAGTACAACAAAAATTACTGAACGCTAGAAGTGGTGAAAGAGATGTTACAGCAGTAATGACCTGTACACACTCTTTCTCAGATGACTGTTCACAAACAAAGCTTTCCTCTTCCTTTTCCTGTTTCTCTCCCTCTTCCTCCTCACTATCAACAGTCAACTTGATCCTTTTTGCATCTGATCCTGTTTCACATGGCAGGGAGCATGGTGCTGGGAAAAAATCCCTCCTCAACTTGATCACCCTATTTTGACACTTAATAAGCCGACAGCTGGAGCTATGAGCTTGATCCAATAACAGTGATAAAGCCACATGATTCAGGGACCTGTAAAAAATCCAGAGTTGAGTTCAGTCTAAAAGCTCATTCTTTAAAATCAAAGAGATGATTAAATGTTACACAAACAATAACAAAATTTCTCTCTTTTCCTAAGAAACATTTTACAACTATATCAGAAAATCAAGTATATAAACCAAACACATTTTTAAAGATCCTGTAATAGCACTTTTCTTGAAATAGGAAAGCAGAAACATTGTAAATATGTTGAACTGCAGGAAAATAATTTTCTCAAGAGGAAGGAATGGTAAAATAATGCTGGATTTTACTTTTGAGGTAGGTTCCCCCTTTTCTTTTTAAACAAGAAAAAAAGTACTCATTTTTTAAGAGTTTATTTTAGTAATAGTTTAGAAGGCAAATAAATCTAAAGTAAAACCTGCATTCTATACTCCCCTAAATAATTTGAATAAAATCTGCTTTTTAATATAGAACATTGTGTATTCCTCAGTAATGATACTGTTTGGGATACAATATTGTGAAAATTAATTTCACCTGTTTCTATTTACTTTTTTAATATGGCTAATTAGAGCATTTAAAATTACTTCTGTGGCTTATATTGTATTTCTGTTGGGTAGTGCTGTTCTAGACCATCAAGATAATGTTATCATGATACTTACAGCTTCAAAGAAGATGTGGTCTTCACTCCAACAACCAAGCTGTCATCTATTACATGATACCATATCTTCTCTACTAGCTGTTCTGAATCTTGAAAATTGTCTGGTATCTTTTTATCAAAGGTACAGACAGGATTTTCTTCTTTACCACAAAGAGTAAAAAGATGTGCCTTATAGAAAAATATGTTAAATAACTGATTACCAAAAATACTACCACATGTGACAAAACTACAAAAATAACGTAAGTCAGTTTTTAGTTAGGTCTTATAGCTTACATATCTTAAAATAAACTGCCTTCTATAGTATTTTACATTGCAGATTATATATAAATCACTAAAACGAAATCTATAGAAGTTATATGTAATTAACTATCTACTCAGATCAGGAAGCATGGCCTGATTGGAAATAAGATGAGGTATCCAACACAGAGCCAGGAAAGACATAAACTTGGAATCCATTTTGAAAAAAATCTGACAGTTTGTGTCCCAGGCATGCTGAAAAAAATCCAATCATTATTAAAGTGACTTGTACTAAACCTATAACTGTAAAATTTTGTACAAATAAAACTGGTTATCTTTGGACTAATGATCAATTATGGCTAAAATTGTATCCTTAAAGTCCAGGCCATACTCATTCATTTCCAGGCACAGATGGATTTATAATAACAACTGAAATGGTGGGAGGAGGAGGAGTAATAATCATGATAATTCACAAAACTTACTGAATGCTTAGTGTGTGTCAAGCACTGTTCTCAATGCCGTTCATGTTTCAACTTGCTTAACCTGTACAAAAAAAACCCTCTAGTATTCTAGGTTGGTATTATTATCTACACTTTTCACATAAGGAAAACAAGACACAAGGAAGCTAAGTACCTTGCCCAAAGTCACACAGCTAGCAAGTGGCAGAGCTGAGATTTGAACGAAAACAAACAGGTTCCAGAGCCCATGCTCTATCTTAACCACTACTCTGTATTGCCCCTCTAGGTGGGCAGTAATTACTGAAAAGATAAGGGCACTTACATTCTAGTGAACAAAACAACTTCCTAGGAATCTGATGCTTCAGCTGGTCGCTGTGACCTGAGGCAGGCCATTCATCTGAAACCTGGGGAAATTTTTGCTACCTGCCAGAATTAGTTCTTAAAATTAAACACATAAACAGCCCCAAATGGTGCCTTGCAGACAGAAGTTTCAGTGCAGTAACTTCTAAACATTTCTTCCCCTTTTCTAATATTGGCAAAGTCAGAGAGTCTGGGTGGCATAGTCAGTTAAGCATCCAACTCATGATTTTGGCTTAGGTCATGATCTCAGGGCTGTGAAATCAAGCCCCATGCTGGGCTATGCGCTAGGTATGAGACTGCTTAAGATTCTCTCTCTCCTGGAGCATCTGAGTGGCTCAGTGGGTTAAAGCCTCTGCCTTCAGCTCAGGTCATGATTCCAGGGTCCTGGGATTGAGCCCCCATCGGGCTCTCTGCTCTGTGGGGAGCCTGCTTCCTCCTATCTCTCTCTCTCTGCCTGCCTCTCTGCCTACTTGTGAACTCTGACTGTCAAATAAATAAATAAATTAATTAATTTAAAAAAAAGATTCTCTCTCCCACTCCCTTTGCCCTTCCTCTCTCTCTCCTGCTCAATAAAACTAATAACAACAATAATAATAATGCTGGCAAAAGAGTTGGGGTAAGTTAGCGAAGGGAAATGAGACTTCAAAAATTACTTTCATGAGCTTTCCCCAGAGACTGGAACTGTGACACAGAAAAGCAACACGATGTGCTTCTGTTATGATTCTTACATTAACGGAATCATATTTTAGACCCAAGTCCTCATATTGCTAAGACTGAAATATAGACACAAGGGGTAGACTGCTATGAAGGAAATCAGAGTTAGGCACTAAGGTGACTTGCGGGAAAGAAGCTTACCGGAGTAAGTTTCTCAATGCTAGCTTTTCTTGATTTAAATGTAACTTTGCTATGCTGTCTTTCTCTGTACAGAGAAAGGTACTTAAAGAGGTTCCTATGCTGGCAACCACAAGGAAAATGAGAGTAAAATTATAAAAAGCAGATATAAACACTAAAAAAGCAGAGCAATTTAGGGGCATTAACCAGAGGAATAAATACCCTTAGAAATGAACATTGCAACAGACAAAAAGAACAATTAGAATACTGATGAAATTATGTATTCATTAATGAAAGGCTGAATAATACTCTGCATATTCTGTTAAAGGAGTGAGAAAATACATAATTCACTTATGGGTAATTTCTATGCAAATCGTACAGATAAAAAAGTTTAATAAAATCTTTTGAACAAGAGGATTTGTTCCCCAAGGTTCCCGATAACTGAGATTTTAATATCCTACAGAATAATTAGCAAATTGGTAAAATATTAGCTCATTAATCAAATATTTTCAAGTCATAAAGGTCCAGCATTATAATCCCTGCCACTTTGCTTCTTGAATCATTGAACGGCATTTTCTAATATATCCAAATATTCCAATTAAAGCAACACTTCAATAGCTTGCAGATTTTCAATTCATAAAATGATAAAATGGTCACGTGATTAATTTTACCTTCTCTGCACTTGATGTACTATCATCTTTCCCTTGAACCAGGTTTATTAAAGTTTTGTAAGATTTTGAAATAATTTTTTCCTTAAGCAAGAGATGCTGCTGCAATTCCTGAATACAAGTGAAACCAACCTGTAAAGTAGAAAGAAAACCCATTGTCAGAGACATTTCAAATGAAATCTGACAATACCATTAATTCAGAAAGTACTTTCTCCAAATTTGCTTATTAAATTCATTTTTCTGTAGAAAAGCAGAGAATACTTCTCAGCAAAACTATTCTCTTCACAAATGTTAAGTAATTATAAAGGAAACGAACATGGCAAGAAACTGCAATAGAGTTTATGTACCCAACTGGGAGAATGCAAACATGTTAGCGTGCATTTCCCCGCTGAATTAAGTAATCAATCGATACAAATATGAATGTCTAATCAATAGGACTAAAAATCAAGGGCTACCAACACTCCTACCCCCACACGTAAACTATTTTTCTTGTTGTTGAAATAGTTACTGCTTCAAAAAGCACAGACATCATTATGAGTAGAAATGGTCACTTTTGATACTATTTAATCCTGTTCATATAATATTTATAGCAAATTTTAAAAAGATAACACATAGCTCCCAAACTGTCACAAGTTTATTTTTGTGCTAATAAATTCAGCACTAAGATGGGCTCTTAACTACAGGAAACAAAGATTGGCTCTCAACTGGGCAGGGAGCAATCCATTGTTTTTATCACACCAGATCAAGAGATTTCACTACCAAGGACGAAACATTCATGAAATGTATTTTGCTACTGAAAATATAGTCATGTCACTGAACTAATAAAAGCGATTTCATTTCAGATGGATATCTGAAACTGTTCAAGTATTAATCCAGCTTTTAATCTAACATGATTTTCTAGATTGAAAACACAAAACACATCCTGTTTCTTAATCCCCTTCTTTCAAATTACAGTTTCAGTCAGGTAAATTCCTTTACTTTTTATTGGTGAACAGAAGCATGAAAATGAAGACTGAATTATATCTTACCTCATTGCCCAAAACATGTAAAGTGTCTAACTAGTATTTTAAAACTTCACCTGTTGACCTATTTCTGCCGGCTCCCCATTATTCACACTCACTCGCTGAGTAATTTGTGACTTAGGGAAGGGAGCTGTACACATCAGAGGGGGAGAGCCAAATGGGAGAATCCTGGAGGGGCAGGGAATAGAAGAGAGGAATATGTGGGCAGACTGACAATGGAGGCACCCTCAAAAGTTATCTGTGTTCTCTCTTCCCTACTCTCCTCAAAATGCCCCCTGCCCCATTCCAGGACTAAACGCTGAATCACTAGACTATGTAAATATTCTACGTTGTAAAGTTTTGTTATAAAACTATAAAAATAGCCATATGATGAAACATTTAAACAGCATAAAAATACCTCTCAACTTCTCTTTCTAGACCCTCAATTCCATTTGCATAGTCAACAGATTGTTTACCTTTCCAGAACCTTTCTCTGTGTATGTTAAGGAATCTTTGCTTTCTTCTCACGACAAACAAGCAAATAAAACTTATCCCAAACCAAATACAGGAGCATACTGCACTGCAGGACAATAAACCTTGTTTTTTTTGGTCTTTTTTACTGTGATCTCTCTCATACACATAGAAAAGGACATAATACAAAAAAAAAAAAAAAAAAAAGAGTTTACAAACTACCCAGGTAGTTACCCAGGTAACCATATGTAGTCAGCTGCCCATGGGCACTGACCAGTCAGGGACTTCTCTTGTTTCAATGGAGGCAACACTATCCTAGACTTTTATTTTTTTCAGTGGGAATAAAGTTTTATTGGAACACAGCCACACTCATTCATTTGCATATTTTAGGTGGGGGAGTTGTGACAGAGACTATGTGGCCTGCAAAGCCTGAGATATTTACTATCTGGCCCCTAACAGGAAAAGTTTGTTAACCCCTGGTCTAGACACTTATCACACTCTGTACCCCATTCTTCACCTTCTCCAACTCACGTGACAAATACCTCCACAATAGTTGGCTCCTCTCCCCATCTGGTGGGATTCTAGGCTTCTGCCTACCCACACTAATGCCCTGCCCCAGGGCAGAGAGGGTCTAATAGAACCCTGACTGGCCCACACCTGTGCCCCCAGCCCTGCCAACAATGAGAACGGCTCAGGGACAGGGTGTGAGCTTTTACCCTAGCCTTTTAAGGTAACTTTCTTGTATGTCTTCATAATTTTACCATTACTATATCTCCTAAAGAATATTTTTAGGTTTTTGTGTTTTGCTTTGGAAACTTTTATGAATGAAGTCATTCTGTATGTGCTAGGTTTTTAGTCATCCCATTTGTCACTAGTAGCTGTAGTCTGTGACTTTCACTGCTCTGTAGCATAATATCATATGACCACACCAGCTCGCTTTTCCATTCTCCTGCTGATGAACATCTGGGTTACGTCCAGGCATGCATGGACTATTACTAACAGGGCTGCTGTGAACATTCCTGTACATGTGCACAAATTTCTCTAAGGTCCTGGTTTCCCCATTTCCCCTCCAACTGGTTCCTTTCCAACTTGCTGGAAAACAAATTCCATAGGGGAAAGAACAGTGAAACAGACACTGGTTCTAGCTCTGCCTGTCCCTTAACCTTTCTGGTTATTTGTTTCCTAATATGTAAAATGGGGGAGGCGGGGTAGACTTGTTAATCCCTAAAAGACCATACAGGAGTGCCTGGTGGCTCAGTTGGTTAAGCATCTGCCTTCAGCTCAAGTCATGATCTCCAGGTCCTAGGACTGAGTCCCATGTCGGGCTCCCAGCTCAGTGGGGAGTCTGCTTCTCCCTCTCCCTCTACCCACCCCCCACCCTGTTCATACTCCCTCTCTTTTTCTCAAATAAACAAATATCTTAAAAAATAAAATAAAAATAAAATAAAAGGTTTGGAAATATTTTTATGCAAATTGGGAGCTAGTGATAACATGTGGATACTTGAGACAAAACGGACATGAAATTCTCACTTACCCCTTCCATATGCTCCTGCCTTCTCTCTGTGTTCCTTTCTTATTTTACTTCTATGAGTCTGTGCTACCTCCTGAGTACTTTTTTGGGGATTTTAATTTATCTTTATTTTTTTATTATGTTCAGTTAGCCATCGTATAGTACGTCATTAGCTTTTGACATAGTGTTCAATTATTCATTAGCTGCATGTAACAACCAGTGCTCATCTCAACACATGCCCTCCTAGTAATTTTTGTAACACAGTTTGGTTTACTTCTTTGCTCTGAATCTCTTTGAGTGAACTCTTAAACTCAGCTGATGAGACTTTTTTATTTCAATGTATTTTTCGTTCATAGATAGGCTCTTTGGTTATTTCCTGGGGATAACTGCTCACGATGTCTTATTTATGTCCTTAGTCATTCTGTGAGTGGTTCATTTTCTTTGAAAAATTACTTGTGAGATTTATAAGAGGCCTAGGATAAAATGTGTATTTTGAGAAAGGATTGTATGTTTGTTTCTGCCAGCTGTCTAGAGTACTACTGCTTTCGGTTAAACACAAATGCTCCCAGGGCAAAAGTATTAATAGTGTTCTCTGGTTCTCTCTGGATTCCAGCCTTTACAGTTTGGCCTGATAATTTATTCTTATATTTTCAGCATTTTGAAGCTTTTAGGGGAAATTTTAAAAACATATTTCAACTATGATTTTAACTGGTTTTTATCAGAAGACTTGGTCTAAATAAATTAGGTAACACATTAGTAGAGGTGGAATTTCTGAAAGTCATACTTCATAAATTATTTTGGCAACATTCCTAAATCAGTATAAAGACCTACTGTTTTTTGACAGCCGCACACCATTCCATACTTCAAGTATATTATAACTGATCTACCAAACACCTAATGATGGATATTTAAAATGACTTCATTTTGTCATTCTTAAATACTATATAAACATTCCTAAAAAATCATCTTTGTTCATTGTACAAGTATATCCTTAGAACAGATTTCTAGAAGTAAAACTGCGAGAGTAAAAAGATATGTCCAATTCACATTTTAATTAGCAATAATAAAATGTTGACGTTGAGCCACTTTACGTTCTTGAGAATACTGTTTCAGAACGCATATCTACATTATGGAAATTTATCCTTTGTCTCTTGTTACAATTTCTATTTACACAACTTGTCTTTTTATATAATTTATTTTGTCCAGAGAATCAAAGTTTTTAATGTATTGGTCTTTTCCTTTATGGTTCTATGCCCACTATGATATCTTACTCTCTATTGACCACATTAATATCTGTGTTCAATAAGCATTTAGTAAATTCACTTTCAAAATTAAAATGGTTGCAAAAAATTTCTTACAGAACCCTACAAAGTACAAATATTTACTATTTGGCCCTTTAAAAAATGAGTTTGCCTGGGATAGAGGAAAAAGTTAAATGACACACAAGGAAATAGACAAATCCACAAAAAGGGACAATTGGCCTGGCCTCCTCATTAGTATCATCGTAAGAAAGTAGGGAAAGGCATTATTCTAGATAAAAAGACCAATAAGACGTATAATAATCAAGTGCAAGTGTAAACTTTGACTAGATCCTGAAAAAAAGCATCTGTAAAAAACATTTTTGTGGTAATTGAAGATGTCTGAATACAGAAATAGTAAATAAGAGTAAGAGATTATTAATTTTCTAACTGTAATAATAGAATGGTGTGTTTACATAGGTGAATGTCCTTATTTTTTAGGCAATCCCTGCTAAAATACATAGGAGTGAAGTTATGATATTTGCAATTTTCAAATGGTTCTGCAAAAATGTACATACACACATGCATATGCATATAAAGCACAGATGAGGAAGACAAATTTTTTTCAAAAGTACAAATAGTTAAATTCACGTGGAGACTAGAGATAACTACAGTGCTATTCTTTGAACTTTTTGGAATACTTAAAAATTTTCATGAAAGGGGTGCCTGAGTGGCTCAGTTGTTAAGCATCTACCTTCGGCTGAGGTCATGATCCCAGAGTCCATCAGGCCCAGAGTCGCGCTCCCTGCTCAGCAGGGAGTCTACTTCTCCCTCTCCCCCTCCCCCTGCTCGTGTTCCCTCTACTGCTGTCTGTCAAATAAATAAATAAAACCTTTAAAACATATTTTATGAATGAAAAAAGGCAGGTTACAAAAGAACATGGATCTTATAATCACATTTCTATGTAAATTTGCATATATTCATAAAAAATCTACAAGAATATACATGTCAAAGTTGTTAAAATGGGTTATATCTCAGTAGTGGACTCATAAGTAATTATTAGCTTCTTTTTAATATTTCTTTGTACAGTTTGAGTATTCTACAGGGACTATGCATTACCTTCATACACTTTGAAAAAACCAAAAGCTCTTTTTCAGAGAGCTTTGTACGGAAAATTTGAGAGCAAACTGTTCATGTTTGGGACATGTTATGAGTCACTATATTTGATGCTCCTTTAAGAAATACTATGATCCTTGGGGCACCTGGGTGGCTCAGTGGATTAAGCCGCTGCCTTCGGCTCAGGTCATGATCTCAGGGTCCTGGGATCCAGTCCCGCATCGGGCTCTCTGCTCAGCAGGGAGCCTGCTTACCCCCACCCCACCCCCGCCCCCGCCTGACTCTCTGCCTACTGGTGATCTCTCTCTCTCTGTTAAATAAATAAAATCTTAAAAAAAAAAAAAAGAAAAGAAACTTTAAGAAATACTATGATCCTTAAGACCAGAAAGAAATATGTTTTCAAAAGTGAGCTTCATATATTTTATCTTATGAGTCTTATGAAATTTATAATCCTACTACAAAAAGGTATCATTTTTAGATAATACATTTATAAGTAATGTCATAATATTTTTTACAGAGGTATTAAAAAGGCAATGATCCTTTGACTTATCACTTTTTTTCTCAATCACTGTGTTGTTTACACATTAAGATCCTTTCTTTCAAGGTTCTTTGCATCTTTTAGAATAGCACTAACCCAAAAAAGCAAAAACAAAAAGCAAACATAGACACTAACTTTCAATCCTCTTTCCAGAGGTGGAACCATCATATAACGATTCCGTTCTTTGTCTTCAAATGAGTCGTCTTCATTGCAATCCAATGTTTTGTTCTAAGAAATTAAAAAAAAAAACACTAAAATGAAATTTTGAAATAAATTGAAAATTTATAAGATTAACAAAATACAATTAAAGTTTATCCAAAGGGCAGTTTTCCATGTTATACACCACTATATAAGAGACAGAAAATATGTATTTTCCCCATCACTTCTTGTAACTAGAAAAAACTACTAGTACTATTACCACTGACCTAACATTTATATACTGCTTCAAAAAGTACCAGCTTACTAAATTTTTATAAAAAATCCCACAACTAAAGAAAGTAAGAATGATTTTCATTTTATTAAGGAAAAACACAGACTCAGATATTTTTTGCAGATCTGAAACTCCAGGGGTATTATTTCCCTTCTGTCCAAGATCTTAAGACATTATTAACTATTACTTCTTTTAATAAAGCAGGTTCACTTCATTTTACTCCTTAATTAATCCAATGTTATCATGTTTATTGGTATAAAATGTGATTTTCAAAGCAATAATAAGTTAATCTACAGTGTTACTATCACTATACTCCAAATTTACATCAAAAGCATAGTCAATTTGTATAACATTTCCTGAAAGGGGATTCGATGTATAATTTTAAAAATTCAATCTGTGTATTTCTAAAGTTCAAAATGTTTACTGTAAGTATGAAATTATAAACATTGACACAGTGGGTCAAAAGCTTTAAAGCTTCAACTTTCTAAAATGGTTCTTGAAAAAAACCGTTCTTAAAGTAATATATATTAAGTATACAGAACTTACTGAATAGCTTACGTAGCCAAGATCTGTTATTGTAAACGAACTCAGGCAATCTGAATTCAAGGACTCCTGAAAAAGTAGCAGTACTTGTTCACTTCCAGTTCCTATAAAGTCATCTATCAGTACTGATCTAATTTTTTCCCACTTAGCAGCAACCTGAAAGAAAGAGAGTAGAAAAGAAAAACAAAACCAGACATGAAATAAACTCAATCCTTTTGGTGCATGTAGGTGTAATGTGTCCTCTTCAACCTTATAAACAGAATGAAAATGGTAAACATTAAAAACTAAAGATATTGGGGGATCAGACAACATAAAGAGTTATAACAGTTTTACAAACAGCAAGATACTGAAATTTAATGTTCTATCAATGTCTGTCCAGGGTCTGTCATATTTCTGCTTTCTATATTAAGATTTTATTATGATTTATAAATTCTAAACTTATGACTATTTTGGAAACTTTAGGTAATTAGAAGGTAGTGATAAACACTCAAAAATTCTAGAAGCAGAGTAACTTTTCTTAATACACTAAACTCTGGTAGAAGAAAACAAAGCCGATATTAGGGACACAGAATGGGAGGGATCCTATTAGTGAGGCACCTAGAACCATCCTAGCCAACTGGAATGATTTGATCAGTTTATACCAGAACAGGGGACCCCAAGTTTAAAACAGAAGACAAATTCGTAAAGGTCCATGAAGCTGAAAGCCTCCACATTGGTCCCCTGGAGAACTAATACCATGGGGACTAGCTTCTCCTTCTCGCTTAGACAGAAAAGCTAAAACTCCCACTCAGAATCCTGGAGGTAGCACAGATAGATGATAGCGGGTGGCACGTATTAGAGCAAGACTGTAAGTAAGACTTCAATCTATATAACCAAATATTAATCTTTCCTATATAAGGCTGATTTCCAAAGCCAGGATTTTTTATGTATGCAGGGAGAAAGCTTATTTGTATACCCACCCCCACCCCCACTCCCACCATGAGGATCAGGAATACAATGAACTAGCGAAGACATTAGAGGTATGAAATGTACTCAACGGTGGCACTTGGGTGGCTCGGTTGGCCGAACGCCCAACTCTTGATTTTGGCTTAAGTCATGATTTCAGGGTCATGAGATGGAGCCTGGCATTAGCTCTGCACTCAGTGGGGAGTATGTTTGTGATTTCTTTCCCTCTACTCCTCACCCCACTCTAATAAATTTTTTTAAGAAGAATGTGCTTGACAAGCAAACATGATAGAGCTATGTACTCATGTATGCACACACACACACACACATTTATAATCTATAGCTCTAGAATAGTGCTGTCCAGAATATAGGAGAGAGACAATGCAAGGCATATATATTTAATTTTAAATTTTCCAGTAGCCAATAAAAGAAAATTCTCTAGCAGCACTGAAAAGAAAAAGGTGAAATTTTATATTTAATTTGATGTGCTATATCCAAAAATTGCATCATTTCAATTTAATATTATCAATAAAATTATTAATTTGACATTTTCCTATCATTTTTTACTAAGCCTTTAAAATCTGGTGTGTATTTGACACCTATAGCACATTCCAATTCAGACCTGCCACATTCCAAATGTTGAATAACTACATGTGGCTAGATGCTATCATATTAGACAGCACACCTCTAGAACATACAAACCACTATCTGCAACATACCAATATCTGTTTTAGGTATATGATTCAGTTTTAAAATACCTGCTACATAGATTCTTGTCAAAACCTACAGAGACAATTTCTACTCAGGAGAGAAAGCCTAAGAGAAAAGTTAATCACGCATTTGTCTAACTCAGCTCTGTTTCAAGTTCTATCACTCTCTATCAAGTTCTATCAAACATTATACCTGGGGCTTTTATGAAGGACTGATCTGAGAACATGCTAACCTTGATTTTTAGTATTTATTCTAATTTATGCTTGTTTGCACTTTACCTGTCGTTTAAGCTGCCTTAATTCTCTTATAGAACGAGGTAGTAAAAGGATGGTTGGATGAATCCGTAGCCAACCCAAAGGAAGATTGTATCTATTGGTTTTTCCCATTTTGGAGCAAAACTGTTATCATAGACACCATTTTATTATTCAATAATGTTTTCACTTTATTATTCAAAACCTCTTACATAATACCACAAACAGTAAATCCCTCTCAGAACTCAATGTTAGAAAAAAAAACTTTGCCTTGACAGTATGTTCCAATCAGTTGTAAAACCTGCTATATTTGTTTTTTTGTCCTAACTACTAAACTAAGTATAATTCCTCAAAGGCAATCACTTCCCTTAACCCAGGTTTTCTGACATGGTCATCTCTCCTCCTCCTTAGTTTGTAGATTCTTAGCCTTTATTCCTGTTTTTAAACTAACTGCATATTTTACCTTAAGATATATATATTTCTTAAGTAGGTGAATATAAATTTAACACCAAGGTTAAGGCAAGAGCTGCAAAATTCCCAGAGTAGCAAGGTTACCAAAGGAATTCATGAGCACTTAATTTGTGGATATCAGGGTGTAATTCCAGAGCTTTTGATACAGGGCATTTGAAAACAGCTTAGACATACAGAATCCTGAAGAAGTAGCTTAAGAGGTCTGTCAGTAGGGACTTAGGTAAGTAACTTGTGCAAAGGATGATGGTGCATTGTAGATAAAGAAACCTAGAACACAGTTTCAAGGCAGGAAAGCCAACCAACAGTATACAGGCTCACTTCCAGAGTGGCACAGTATCCCTCTTTGGGTAATGTGTTAGCAGCAGAGCTTTACAGTGTCCAAGCAGGCGACCCACTTACAGTGTATAAGGACTATATTACACTGAATTAATGAGGCACAAGGGGACTGTTTTTCCTTATCCGGGTGAATAAGGGACTTCAAAGGTCCAAGTCAATGATGACAGTCCTAGCCCTTGTATAACATAATAGCTACTTACTGAGCTTCTCCTGTGTGCCAAGCACTGTGCAAGACACTTTACAATGTCATTTGCTTTAATTCTCTGCTCTCAGAGGCAGGATGATCCCAATTTCATTAAGACAGGAAAGGAGTTCACAAAAATTCAACACATTCCTTAAGGTAAGACTAGTAAGTGGCTCAGTTGGGATTTAAACCTAGGTTAAGTGTGCTCTTTCCATTTCCAGGACCCCAATAAGAATTATAGGCTATGCTAGATGTTTCCCTGCTACCATTTTGGGAAAGGAAAAGAGAGTACAGAAAGACAGAAAATGTTACTTTCCAAATAACCTTCAAATAAAAGTACAATATGCTTTTAAAAGATCGCTTTCAAAATAAAATAGGGTACTTTTAAATTACTTTTCTTTCAAAAATTTAAATTTACTTATTTATTTTAGAAAGAGAGAGCAAGTGCACACAGGGCGAGCAGCAGTGGGAGAGGAGAAAGAATCTTTTAAGCAGGCTTCATGCCCAGTGCAGAGCCTAACCCAGGGCTCAATCTCACGTCTCTGAGATCATGACCTGAGCCTAAATCAAGAGCTGCATGCTTAACTAACTAAGCCACCTGGGTACTCCTTTTGAGAATTTAAGTTCTGTATGTATTACACAGGTTAAATATCGTTACATAACCCCTATAAACACAAAGGTGATTTACAAGGCAAAGCCTGATAAAACACAATCTCAACCTGATACTTTCATACACACAAACAGAAACACACAAAGTAAGGATTCACCTAAAAAATGGATGGCCTGGTTGGGTACGAGTCCGACTCTTGATTTTGGCTCTGGTCATGATCTCAGGGTCCTAAGACAGAGCCTGGCATTGGACTCCACGCTCAGCACGAAGTCTGCTTGAGATTCTCTCTCTCCCTTGCCCTCTGTCCCTCCCTCCACTCACACACTCTAACTAAATAAAATCTTGGGGTGCCTGGGTGGCTCAGTCAGTTATAGTGTCTGCCTTCGGCTCAGGTCATGATCCCAGGGTCCTGGGATCAAGCAGTGAGTCCGTCTCCCTACTCAGTGGAGAGGCTGCTTCTGCTTCTCCCTCTCCCTCTGCCTGCCACTCTATGTGCTTGTGAGCTCTCTCTCTGTCAAATAAATAAACAAATAAAATCTTTAAACAAATTAGAAATAGTTATACTAAAAGACAAATAAATCTATAATAATTGTAGCTATATATTTATATATTTCCAAACTCAAAGGTTTTATGACTCAAAACGGGGCAAGGCAAAACCTTTACCAGGTAGTATTCAGATAACTTAAAGAAATAAGAATGATGCAATATATATGATTTTAAGTGCAGCACTAAAAATTGATTTGGATAATAAGACTCCAGGATAGGGGTGCATGGGTGACTCAAGTCATTTAAGTGTCTGCCTTCAGCTCAGGTCATGATCTTAGGGTCCTGGGACTGAGCCCCACATTGGGCTCCCTGCTCAGCAGGGAGTCTGCTTCACCCTTTTCCATCCCCACCCCACTGGTGCTTTCTCTTGCCATCTCTCTCCCCAAAAAATAAATATTTTTTAAAAAGACTCCAGGATACACTCTCTGAAACATATAAATGTGTAAAAGGTCTAAGGCTACACCAATGGAATGATTATAAGAATAAGTACTCTACCTGAAAGTTCTTTTTCCAAATGGCACAAGCATCACCAGACCTAAAGGATACGATGAAAAAGTCTCCTCTGCCTGAATCCATAAGTTGAACTGCACAAGGATCTCCAAATGGAAGCTGGCACACGCTTTTAGGAGTCCCATTTTGAAATAAAATCAGCTGATTCTTTCGAGTAAGGGCAATCAGAGACATTCTTAACTGATTGTTGACAATCTCAGTTGCACAGACATGCACATAAGTTATTACACTGGTATAAGCAGGAGGTATAATGTATGCATCACTTACTACTTCTTCATTTTCAAGGGAGTATACACAAAATTTGGTATTCCAAATTGCATAATCTGATTTTGAAAGCTTTTGAGTGGATCCTTCTTCAGATAAAAAACATGTCTTCGGTCCTAATAAAACCATACCTAGATTTTCAATCTCCCCTGCCCACTCAACAGAGGAAAAATTAAGAGACACAGTAGTAACTTTGCCTGTTTGGGAAGAGATACAGTAGAATGTTTTGACATGTCTCCATAAAACGAACGGACCATTAAGGACCCTTACACCATCCTTCAACTCATGGCTTAGTCTAAAGCTCAAACGCTTTTCGAATTTATTGGTACTGTGAAGAAATAGAAGAAAATATGTGAAGATGTTATTCTTTTTATTGCATTGTATCATAATATAAGGGAGATTAATTCCAGTTCTGAAATCTGACACACAGTTGCAACACATAATTTTTAAATGAGAGTTTTCTTCCTTTAGCATAAAGGATCCAGTGGACTTCTGAACAAATGCTCTTGTTCTTCTGTCAAACACCATTCTCCTGACATGTAATACAGGTGTTTTTGCAGGCCCTTTACCTGCAAAATGTCCCTCAGACAGCCGAAAAATAAGGACTTCCCCATTATAACACAAGAGCATTTCTTGTTCCTTAGATGACACGGCTTGTTTGCTAGACATTCCACAATATCAAGTCTTTGTGTTGGTCCAATTTTCGAATTCAAATGGATTCCAGTTGATGCTTTTAAACCTAAAAATGTAATGAGAAAAACTACCATCAAGAAAGCAGTTGAAAACACATTTCTGCTAGAGAACTATTAAGTTTTATGAACATTTTAAAGCTTTTTATGCCATCTTAATAATGTTATACTTATCAAAAAACTACATCCCAAATATCATCTTTGTACAGTTAAAAAACAGAGTTTGCAAACAATGCAAATAACCACATCACAAAAGATAACTGAATGTGTTAACAGCATCTATTAAAAGTGGTGGGTGGTCTGCTGAAAGTGCCTGAAGACGGTTTTCTGGTTTAGGGGATTTCTTAAGGGTTCCACTTCTGTCTCTCTTTTAAACCTACCAACCTAATCTAGTTTTCCCATTTTCTTCCAACCCCACCCCCCTGCCATTTTCTACTCTGTTGACTCAAACCTGTTTTTCTCTCACCCTTACACCCTCAACAATGACAACTGAGTAGTCAACAACTCAGATTGACTGCTACCACAACCCAGGCACTTGGGGGTCCTGCTTTCCTGAAACAGGAGCTCATACAGACTCTATGGCCAAAATGAAAGAAAGAAAAACAAAGGATTCTATGCTATAGTTTAAAAAAAAATCTCCATAGGAGTAACAGAAATAAATATTAAATCATATTCTGCAAAAACAGTGCAGCTTTGGGACTTTAAGTCATTATTCCTCTTACTAGAGGTATGACTTTGGCCAAGTTACTTAGTCCCTCTATGCCTCATATCCACCTATAATGGGGTGAAGTACTACCCTACAAGGTATTGAAATTAACTAAAATAACCCACTTAAAATAGAACCTGACACACACATATATATAAGGTGCTTGATAAAGCTTAGCTGCTACAGTTGTCCTTATCATCACCATGGCCAGCTCTGGTTTATATAGTATCCAACCTTTGAAACGTCAGTACAGTTGCATACTTAAGTTTGTGAATGCTGAAAGGTCCCTCTCCACTATAGATAACTCTAACTCACATTCTTTCTTTTCTCCTACTTGTGGATCATTTACACCAGAAAATTCAACTATTTCAGAAAACTACATCATTTGTAATTAAGTAATGTTTTCCTCTGCTGAATGAGAAACTGCAAAGGCTTAGGTTTTGTTCTTTTATTATAAAAATCTACCAAGAGTCCAATTAGAAAAAAGTTACCACTGAACCATCTACAAATTTAACTTAATGTAGCATTTTGTAGAAATGATTTTAATTTAGAGGCAATTCTATTAAAATGCAGACTCGATCAGTCAGCATCTACTTTCAAACTGGAGATTCTGTGGCTTATTGTCTAATTTCCAAATACATCATTTGTTGTGGTTTTTTAATTAAGATTTTTTATTTATTTGACAGCGAGAGAGGGAACACGAGCAGGGGGAGTGAGAGAGGGACAAGCAGGCTTCCCGCTGGGCAGGGAGACCGATGTGGGGCTCGATCCCAGGACGCTGGGATCATGACTTGAGCCAAAGGCAGACGCTTAACAACTGAGCCACCCAGATGCCCCCATTTGTTGTAGTTTTAAACAATGTTCACAAATTATTTGAAATTCCTTCCATCAATTAATTCTTCTCTCCTTGAATGAGGGCTGGTCATTATGATTCACTTCTAGCCAACAGAATACAACAGAAGGGACAACGTGAGACTTCCAAGACTGGGTCATAGAACATTGTGGCTTCCTTGATGACTTGATCCTTGGATCACCTGCAAGGAGGAAAGCCACCTGCTAAATAATTAAGACACTCAGGCAGCCCCATGGAGATGTGTACACAGCAAGGAACTATAGCTTCCTGCCAATGGTCAGCAAGAGACTGGGGCCTTTTAACAACAGCCATGTGAGGGAGACTTCTTGGGATTAGATCTTCGATCTCCAGTCAAGCCTGCAGATGATTCAGCCCCCTGGAGAGCTCCTGAATCAGAAGAACCAAGCTAAGCTGCTCCCAAATTCTTGATCCTCGGTAATTTTGAGATATGTTTGTTGTTTTAAGCTGCTAAATTTGGGAATTATTTGTTATACAGTAACAGATAAATACATTTCTCTATGGTAATTTGTTTAAGTTGATGATACGGTTTTTGAGAATTTCACGAAACCTATTACTTGAAGCAACTGGAGAAACTGTATCATAATACAAACTAGCAGAAGTCACTGGCTTACTGGTTTGTTGTCAGGCAATTATTGCAAAGATCTGGGACAACAGGTATCATAAAGTAGTCTCAGCTTAATGAGTAAAGAAGATAAGTAGATAAATCAAAGGTGTGGCTTTTACTTATGAAACTATCTTTTAGTTTAAAGGTAATACTGTATTACAACAAAATGTATGAATAATAATTTATTTAAAATTTCTCACAGATATGTCAGGTCTCTTAGATTTCTAAAAGAAATTTCCTTTTTCAGCATTAAATGATACATTGTCCTTTTAGCATTAAAATGATATAATCTGGGGCACCTGGGAGGCTCAGTCAATTGAGAGTCTGTCTTCGGCCCAGGTCATGATCCCAGGGTCCTGGATTGAGCACCGCATGGGGCTCCCTGTTCAGCAGGGATCCTGCTTCTCCCTCTGCCCCTCCCCCTGCCCATGCTTTCTCTCTCTAATAAATAAAGAAAAATCTTAAATAAAATAAAATAAAATTCTATAATCTGAGGTAAGTGTATAAGAACGTGTCTTTTACTACCTATTTGCTTTTCATATTTCTTAAGTACTAAAAACAACCAAAAGTAACCTCTATACAGAAAAGGATTTTGGAAGAAATGTGTGAGACCCTTAATAGAGAGATAAGGAATAACATAACAGAGATAAAGGGCTCAATAAACGAAATGAGAAACACACTTGACAAAATAAACAGCAGGCTGGAAGAAGCAGAGGAAAGAATTAGTGACCTAGAAGGCAGAGTAATGGAAATTAATCAAGCTGAACAAAAGAAAGAAAAAAGAATTCTGCAAAACAAGAACAGACTTGGGGAACTCAGTGACCCCAATCAAACATAATAACATTTGTTATTTTACTATTAAATGTCACAACTAATGTTTAATCAACGCAATGCTCTGGTTCACCAGTATCTGAATATGACAGAAGGAGAATCTGATTGCTAAAAGGTTAGCAGAATATCCCCCTTTACTAAACTCTAGAGTATGTACTGTTGCACCTTGATAAAGTTATGACTTAAGAAAATCAGACTCCTAACACTCTCTTCTTTCAATGCTACCAGCAAATATCTTAACTTAGAAACTACTATCTTCCAACTCTGTGCCAACTACCACTACAGTACTTCAGGCTTTCAACTCTCACTGAGGCTGACGTAAAAGCTTCTTAAATTGATTTTCCTTTCTCTAGGCTCTCCCCTCCAACTTAGCAATTTATTTATGCTACCTCACTTACTGTTCTAAAACACAAACTTGATCTGGTAACTGTCCCCTACCTCAAAAACCTTGCATGGACCCTCTCCCCCTTCTCAACAGATATATATGTGAATTACTTCCTGGAAAGATTAGATGCTAAACACTGTGAACTGAACATACGAATGACACAGAGACAAAAGACTGCAACCCATTGTTATAAAGTTTATCATGGCATTCAAAGCCCTGTTATAATCCTAACCCAATATACTTGCAGCATGAGCTCTAGGCAAAATGCAAACTTATTCTCATGGATTTAGGTTCAAATAGATTTAAATGACTGTTTTATGAAAGGTCTTTATTTTTAAATACTAGTGCAAAACCATGCACATTTTAAATATAAGTTATTTAAAATTGATCACCTTCAGAGTTAAAAATTAGAAGTCAATATATTTACTTACGAAGAAAAATTTTTTTCCTCAAACTTTCTATAATCTCAAGGCTTACTGAATTTGCATACCTGTGTACATTTTATTTTATACTGATGCAACATCTGTTTTAAGAGTAAGAGTTCTTAGCATATGTTCATTAAAAAAACCTTTGAGCCTATGGAATAAATGCTGATTTTATTTTTTTAGATAAAAACAGTATGGAAACAAGTGAGACTAAGGTCAATTTAGAGGTTCTAAGACCACCATAAACAAGCCCTGATTAATCAAACCCTGATTATCAGGGCACCAGACTTACTATTCCAGTCTATTGGTCATCTGACTTTTTACTTATCCTTACAACAGTGGCTTACACCTTTACGACAGAAAACAAACAAACAGGTAACTCAAACCGGTTAAGTTTTACCTCCTATTGCAGCTAATGGGGTGGGGAAGGGGTTGGAAGATTATTTATAAAATACTACATAATTAAATTGAGTTTTTCCTGTTCTGTATTACCATACATCATAGGTGATTGTACATATTTTGTACATAAAAAGAAAATACATGAGTATACTGGGGAAATAATACATGCTAACAGAAATATAGTAGATTGGCAATAAATCATCACTCTCATCCACTCTTCCCTACCAGCCTTCTGTCAAATAAACAATGATCCTTTTAAATGCTAATAAATTCCTCTGGGTGTCATAAATTTCAGAACTCTTCAAATGAACTACCTGTCTGGTGAGGAAGATCCAAAAAGAGCACTATATTATCTGCAGATAAAATCTAAAAATGTCTCTAAGAAACTGTATCAAGCGTGAGCAATAGAAAGTATCTTTGGAAAAAAAGGTAGAATTAAGATACTCAAATAAAAATTTCAAAAAAACCTAAGACCTCAAAACCTCAAAAGAAAACCTAAGAATATTAAACATTTTACAAGCATAATACGGATAGATGTACTTTTCACAACCTTTAGGACATTATTTACCTAAGTAAATTAACTTGGCTACAAAGTAGGTCTGCTGATAAAAACGTTTTTCTACCTATATAACTGGAAATCATTTGTTGGAGCCTACCCAGAATCAAGTTCCATTTTCCCTTTTCCAACAACGCTTAGGGTATCTGAGAAGTAGGTGAACACAGGGGAATGGTGATGCACTAAGAGAATTAGGAAAGACTACATTAAAGGTTTTCTGTGTCATCCTAAGGACTTCTCACTTTATCTGAACAGTGATACATCACTGAAAGATTTCAAAGACAGAAATCACAGGACTGTACTTCTGAATGACAAAGATCCTGGTGACAGTGTTGAAGATGGGGGTAAGGTGAGAATGGAGGCAGAGCCCATCAATTAGGAGATAATTATGAGTTCTTAATTAAAAGATGTGCCTTTGGAAGGCAACTTGGCAAGTCACCTGAAATACATATATCCAGCAATTTCATTTCTAGATATGAACCCAGAGAAACAATCTTACATACTAATGTACAAAGACATTGCTCTAGAATGTTCATTGTGCTGTTGTTCGTAACAGCAAAAAAGAAACTTCAATGACCATCAATAGAGGAATGAACAAATACAAATGTAATATCATACTACAGTTAAAAATGAATCAGATCGGGGCACCAGTGGGTTAAGCCTCTGCCTTTGGCTCAGGTCATGATCTCAAGGTCCTAGGATCAAGCCCCACATCAGGCTCTTTGCTTGGGAGGGAGCCTGCTTCCCCCTCTCTCTCTGCCTGCCTCTCTGCCTACTTGTGATCTCTGTCTGTCAAATAAATAAATAAAAATCTTTAAAAAAAATGAATCAGATCTATGTATATACCACCATGGATTAATTTCAAAAATCAAATGAAAAAAAAACTGAGTTGCAGAAAAATGTATTCTGTGGTACATTATGTATCTAAATCAAAACACATAAAACGACATTACATATTTTCTGTTTACCTACAAAGGCTACATTCCCTGAGTGCTTCTCTGCCAGGTACTATTCTAAGCACTTTGGACTCATTTATTTCTCACTACATTCTTATGCTATAGGCAATGTTATCCCATTCTACAGATGGGGAAATTGAGGCATGGAGTTTAAGAATCTTCTCAAAGGCCTAAAAATAGGAAGTGACAGAGCCAGGATTCAAAACCAGGCAGCTTTGTCCAAAATTTAAAGAGCAAAGATTCTGTAAAGATTCATGCCAAATTCCAATGACTATTTATTCTGGAGAAGGGGAGAGATATCAGGTAGGGGAGTGGAGCCAGAAGGAGACTTCAGCTAGAGCTGCAATGTTGTTTTTTAACAATGTATTCAATATTTTTAAACAATATGTCCATTTCCCCCCATAAAAATCTGTAGCATATTAAAAAAAGTCTCGGCCAAAGATGCTAAAGTGTCAATCACGGTTGACTGCAGACGGTGAAAATATGGGGACTTTTCTTCCTGCAATTTCTCTGTAGTTTTCATTATCTTCCAGTTTTTTTTTAAAAGCCTGTATTGAATCGTTTGAATGCAAAACGACTTCCTTTCACTACTTTAGCCAACAACTACAAAATTGTTCCAGTGCCTTATAAACCTACATCTTTCTGAAGTTTGGCACTTAATGTCATTTTGCACTGGATAACTGTCAGAGGGGCCCCCCTGTGCGTTGCAGGCTATTTAGCGATACCTACTAGTTGCCAGTATTAGGCCCCATCCCGGTTGTGCCAACCAAAAACATCTCCAGACACTGCCAAATGTCCCCTGCGAGACAAAACTGCCCCAAGTTAAGAACTACCCCAGTTCATAAACTTTTAAGATGCTTTGAACCTTTTAAGTTTATATAACTGCTTTAGTTTAAGGATTTCAAAAACATGATCCTTGTTAAGTTTCTCACACTCCAAGCGGGAAAGATGCGGCGAGGGTGAAGAAAGGTTCAAGCGAAATAATCCTATACAGCAAGGACATGATGAACATAGGCCGCGGCACACTCGTTTCCATCCCCTTATTCCGCAAAGACGGGAACCAACCCAGCTCTGCCGCCCAGCCCCGCGAAGGCCAGGTAGGGGTAAGGGACGACTGGCCAGCCCTACCTCACTGCGCGAGGCCCTGCGTCCCAGAGCTGCCACTTTCCCGACTCCCTACGCGGGCGCGGGATCCCTCCGCTCCAAACCTCCCGCCCGCGCGCTGCATCCTGGGAGATCCGGGCTGGAGGCTGCGTCGAAAGCGGGGGGGGCGGAGCCTGCCGAACCTTCCCGGATACGGTTGCCAAGGGAGGCTGAGGGGGCGGGGCCTCCAGGGAATGTTGTGAAAGCGAAGAGCAGGCGGAGCTTGTTCGGGCGGTGCTCCGCGCGGGAAGCTCCCGTGATCCGGCGGTAGGCGGAGGCGGGCCCGCAGTGCAGGGGACGTCGGGGGAGCGGAGCCCAAAGGAGAAGCTAATGGAAAGCCAGGCTGGGGCCTGGTTCCGCCTCCAGACCCAGGCGGCCACAGTGGATTGGACAACGCAGCGACGCTTCCGCCCGCCTCCCGGTGTCACGCGACCGTCTCCACCTCCCGCCCTTCCCTCTTTACCTCCCGCCCTTCCCTCTTTACCTCCCGGCCCGCCTGGCCAGTGATGAGATATTCGGACAGGTGGAGAAGTGGCCACGGCGATCAAAATCACGTCCACGACCGCGACCATGGCCGAGGTGAGGAGGCACCCACGCCGCTGCCGGCCCTCCCGGCAGACCCGGAAGCTTCCTCTGAAGCCCGGGGGCTCTGCGCCCAGGTGTAGGTGGGTTGGGCTGAAGGGAAGCGGGGTGGTGCGCCTGGTGTCTAAGCGTCCCTTCGTATCTCCCTTTCAGTATCACGCCCAGAATAAAGCCAAGCTCATCTCTGAGACCCGACGGAGATTCGAAGCCGAATACGTGACAGGTGGGTACCGCGTTCTCGCTGTTGAGGCAGGTGTGCATGAGCGTCCCCAACTTTCCAAAGGTGTTTGCAGGTGTCTTTGGGAGGCTTTAGGGACCATTTCGACCCTCACAGTAATGATGCCCTGCACGTTTCCAAGGTTTTCTTTAACATAACACGCCATGCATACTGCTCCCAACTGGTCAGGTGATACGCCCGTTGCTTCCTAAAGGGTTAATGTAAGTTGGAAATTGGTCAGTTTCTAGCATCTCGAGTTCGTGGAACTTGAAGGACACTTTCAAGGCCCATGGTACAGGTGACACTGCCCAGTGCACGGTTTTCTGCTGACCTTTCACCGGCAACAATAGAGAAAAAGAATCTGGAAACCGCCATAATGCTATTCACGTGTGCTTAATTGGGGATACAAATTCCTTGGATATTTTACATAATTCCACTTCATACAACCCAGTATGCTACCCACGGAGTAGGCTTTCCAGGGCTGGAACAAGTTCTCTTTCATCCCACACTGTACCTAGACAAAGTACCTGTGAGTCCAGAATTGATTTATTGGTTGAACATTATGTGTTCATATGGTTGAACAGATGTCCCAGATACTTGAAACTGATGATTTAATCCTTGTACAGTAGTTTTTGAAACCTGCAGGGTGATTTTATCATAAATATGAAATATTGAATCCTGGCCCTGCCACTTAATAGCTTAGTTGTCTTTTCTAAGCCCTGTTTCCTTATCTGTGAAATATGAATAATTAGGTTAAGAGGATTAACTGAAAAAACACAGATCAAACTTTCTAGCATGGGGTTAACCTATTGTAGGCTCTCAATGAATATTTTGTCCCAGGTTGATTTGGTTGCTGTGGAAGGGTTTAAGCTTCTGCATCTTGAATTCAGTGCCCTGTAGAGATTCTCTGCAACTTTAAACTGCCCTAGATTAAATGTCAATGATGACCTAGAACAAGTAAGGAAATGTGTTCCAAATAACCTGGTCAGTAAATCTGTTCATCCTCCCTGTCAATTTTCTTCCCATCCCAAACTTTGCACCAGAGAGTTGCAAAAGCACTTGATTTCACATTTAGCCCAGAGATCCCATTTAAATAATATAGGTGGTTCCAGTAAAAAGATAATTCTGAGATTGCTTTCTATAGAAATGTTCTTATAGGTACATGGTTTATAGTATTTTAAGAACCCAGAACCTGACCTAAGGGGCTAGTGTCTTCCCATTAGTCGGGTACTCATGCCCAATGGAGGAAGCAGGATATATGTATACATATGTGTGTGTGTGTGTAGTTATACAAGTTTAGCAATAGATAAGATTTTAAAAGTTATCTTGGTCCAGCCTTCTCTTTAAAATGAAGAAAGTAAGATCTAGAGAGATTAAGTGATTCACTCTGAATCCTTGGTGTTAATGGCTAGGCCTTGGGCTAGTTTTCTGAATTTCACTATAGTGAAAATCTTTTGGCAACACCATCATGTTGCCTTAGATCATGTCACTCCCCAACTTAAAACTCTTCAATACGTTCTCACTGTGTCTAGAATAAAAATCTCAATTCTTAAAATTTTTTAAAGGATTTTATTTATTTATTTGACAGAGATCACAAGTAGGCAGAGAGAGAGAGGAGGAGGAGGAAGCAGGCTCCCTGCCTAGCAGAGAGCCCGATGCAGGACTTGATTGCAGGACTCTGAGATCATGACCTGAGTCGAAGGCAGAGGCTTAACCCAGTGAGCAACCCAGGCGCCAAAAATCTCAATTCTTTATGGTGGCCTACAGTGCAGGGCCATATATGCTGAAGCTCATGCCCACCCCTTACATCCTAATTTGTAACCACCCTCTTCGCTTAGTACAGATTTCACCACTGCCCACAGTAAGAAACATATCACACATTGCAACACATAGCAATCCCTCACACACTTACACATGCACACATAACTGGAACAAAAGTTCCTTAAAGAATATTTATTCAGAAAACCCATGACCCCTGTTGCAGTGACCCACAAAATTGACATCACATCCTACATGACCCAAGGTTTGAAAAACATGACCAGCCACACTGCTTCTTTTATGTTCTTCAAACAGACTGAATCTGTTTTTATCTTGGGACCTTTCCACTTCTCTTTGTTTGGGAGGCTCTTGCCCAGATAATGTTCATGGCTTAGGTCCTTTTTTTCTTTTCCATCTTGGTTTAAATGGATCTCAGAGGCCTTTGCTGATTACTGAATAGCCTCCCTGTCTTGTTTGTTTTGTCCCCTTTACAGCTCTTACCATAACCGGTAATTAACGTGTTCATTTGTTTACTTATTGTTCATTTCCTCCAGTAAAATGTATATGGGTCTGGGGCAGCCAGGGCAAGGACTGACTCACTTCTGTATACTTAGCACAGTTTTCAATATATACTTAATATAGCAATGCTTAAATATATACATAGGAAGATTAATCTGAGTCTGCTTTATGAGTTGTCCTAATTGGTTCCCCATCCCATCTCCCCACCCCCCACAAAGTCTGGCAAAGAGCAGCCCTCGCAATATGTTTCATAAAGACAAGCATTATTTCCAAGTAGAGCACTCTGGCATTAGGTATAGAGAGGGTTTTGTCGTTAAATATACACACTTGGGTTCATGTGAATGGGTTACCTGCACAGCTGTTGTAAATACTAATTTAATTAATTTAAAGACTTGAATGGGAAAGGAAAAACCTGCGAAGACTTTTCTACCTTGTTTCCTGAGATACTGCATCAGGTAAAGGTAAAGTAGGAAAGTGGTAAAAAGGGATTTTTGGTCTGCCTGTATTCACCCTTTCAAGTTTACTTTTTAGAAATTGACTCAAGTGCTTAGAGAACCTGCACTTTCCTAATTCCTCTTTCATTTCACCCGTTCTGTTGTCACTAACAATATTTTGTTTCAAAAGATGCTTAAGGCTGACTTAAGCAAACAAACATGACGTTTTTCCTAAAAGAAAATATTATCTGCAAATACATCACTTTAAGCATTGGCTATACTCCAGAAACTCGTTTGGAGATAGGTTCTTTTGAATTCCAAGCACAATTTTGTTTCCATAGGAATTAAGTTGCCAATTATGGATAGATTTGTAGCTGTCAGAAAGAATAAAAGTTCATAATTGTTTTATGCATTACAAGTGGTCCTTTTTTCCTCACTGTTTCTGTGAGAAATTCCATGCTGAGTCTCAAATGAGAAACATTTCCCGTTCTCTCTTCCTCCTTCTGGAGGCCAAGGCAAAAGCCTACTCCCTTGTGACAGTAATTTATTTGGTTCCTCAAATACTCATTATGTGCTTAATTCTGAGAAGCAGTGTGTCCTTATTAGAGAAAGAACTGAAGAAGAATAGAGCCACTTCCTGAACTACTACACTCTAGTAGAGGCATTAAGACAGAGCTAACTATTAGAATTCAGGCAAATTGTATCAAGAGGAATAAGTGCTAAAATCATTTTTGTAGAAGTCAAAGACAAGGAAAAAAATCACATATGGTTGGGGTGATTGGGTTAGCACCAAGTGGGAAAACAGAAAAGGTGGAACTTTGGAAAATGGTAGAACTTGGGCAGGTAGAGGATGTGATCCAGATGGATCAAATAGTCTGAGCTAAGGCGCTGTAGTGAGAATGTACAGGGCATGTTCAGGAAGCCATGGGAAGTCCGCTTTGATGAGCTCTAAGAGGAGGGTAAGCACACCTGCTGAAACCAGTGGGCATGCAGTGTAGAGAGCTTTGAACAAAAACGATGTTTGTACTTTAGTGAGTTTGGAGAGCAGTTGAGGGATTGGTGTGTTATTTTAGGTTTGTTTCTTGACTTTACAAGTATATGAATTCATTTGAATAAATTTGGATGATACCAGAAAAGCCAGAAAAGTCCCCCATAAGCTAACCATCCAGAGATAGCTCTGCTAACAATGGAGGCATTTTTTTTTCCATATGGTTTTTTGTTTTATTCTTAATGGGCTCCACACCCAGCATTAAGCCCAGCAGGGGGCTTGAACTCACGATCTTGTGACTGAGACCTGAGCTGACATCCAGCTGCGACACTTAACCAACTGAGCCCCCAGGTGCCCTCTATATGTTTTTTTTTTTTCCCTGTATGTTAAAAAGTACTTAAAAGACTATCATGTATGTAATTTTAGGGCTTGCATTTTATACTTGACACGATCAAGTTTATTTTCCCTAGATTGATGAAGTAAATAGTGTTTTTCATTACTGTTTAATACTCAGCTCTGTAAAAAGAGAATTTTCTTTTAAATACTTCCTATTTGGATATTTGGATATTTA